CAACACCACTACCACAGATTTCCAGTCCGGCAAGCTCTCTAGTAATGTTCCGTGAGGAAATAGACCACCGCATTACGACTATTGACGCATACTATTCAAACGCCGCCAAAGTCCAACAGCGTTGCAAAGATGATGCCGTGGGGGGAGATGTCGAAAATCCAGCAGCTCTACTTCTGACATGCACCAAAGAGTTCACCGGGATAATTCAGAGCCTGACACCGACTGTCCAATTGTACACGCAGACCGAGGATACACTCAACACGGAAACTCTGCTTCTAGTCCTGTCAAGTTATCTTGCGTTGATGAGGCTCTTCGACTCGCTATTCCAGCGCATACACAAATACCTCTGCCACGTGTCGCCGGAATCGTATAGATCCATCAAAGTCAAATCAGTACTCCGCATTGGTGGTGTCTCCGCACTTCAAGACATGCCCCTCAAGGCGTATGCCACAGGCATCTTGGACGCTATTCAGTGCCAGGTGCAGACACTAGAGTGTCGCATGGGCATTCCAGCCGAGTACTGCCTCTCGGGCGAGGCAGCCTTCTCATCTAGTGCGGGCGCCTCGGGAATATTTTCCAGTCCATCCCGACTCCGATTGTTTTGGGCCGTTATGGCACAGGAGGATGTCAAATCACTGCATGGTAGCAAGTCGTACGTAGAGTCGATTCGAGCTAGTATCAAGGAGTCAATGTCGTTTCTTGATGACTAGACCGAGTCGTACTGGCCTATGGCTACTTTTACTTCCGTCTAATTTTCATACAGAGGATACACTAGCTTCTGCGCTGAGACTTCCTTTCGCTGCAAGACTCCCAGTCCATCAATCACCTTTGCTAATCCGCCCGGATTGACCTGCATAGGATGTGGTTTCAATCTTTTCGACTCAAGCAACGCGGCGAAGCGCTTGATCCACCCATGAAGCCAATCATGCAGTTCGGGGTTTGCCTTGCGATAGTACCCTCCTGGCAACTCCAACTCCAATCCGGCCACCTCCAAGCCCATGACCCAAGATGGCTTGACGGCCTTCCTCATTGTGGCCATAAGATCATCCGGCAAGAGCTCAAATCCGATGTATCTACCACCACCACGTCCAATGGCTGCGTAGCACTGGCGGATAGACCTCGCTTCGGTAATGATATCTAGTGCATATTCCAACGAATTCTTGGTGTAGGCTCGTATATCTTCCCCACATGTTGGCGAATGGTAATCGAAAGCCTTCTCGGCTCCATACTCTTCCACAAGCTTGAAATTCTTGGGAGAGCAGGTCGTGATGACTCGATAGCCCGACCTGCGAATACGTTAGATCAATCATTATACGCTCACTACGCTTCGCAGTGAAAGGGAAACGATGGGTCACTCACATCTTCAACAGCTGCATGGCAAAGGTTCCACTGGCCGTAGATCCGCCATAGACGAGAACGAATTTGGGGTCTTTCGTCGGTCCTTCGGGCGTTCCAGGCAGCTTCATCTCCCACCAGAGCGCCATTCCCACGCTACTGGCCACAGCGCACCCTATCGAAGCCGCCTGCTCCCAAGAGAAGTGGTCGGGAACACGCCACAGGTTGTCAGGCTTCTCCGCGATGTAGTCAGTGAAGGCACCCGACCAGGGTCGTCGAGCCTGAGAGGCCATCTGAGCGCCAGCAACACGGTCGCCAATTTTCAGACCCCCAGGGGTACTGGCAACAGCGTCGCCAACGCGCACGACCGCGCCTGAGAAGTCGCAGCCGTCGACCGTATCGGGACAATGTATTCGTGCTGGCATTTTGTAATCGCTACAGAGGTAAACGTACGAAGTCAGTATATGTCCCACATGCACTGCGCACAGCCGCGGCTTACCAGTGGTTAACTGCCACTGCGCTCACCTTGATGAGGACATGGTCAGTTGACATGGTTGGCATGGGCAGGTCAGTGCGGAGGTCGAAAGATCCAGCCGTCGTGGCCGACTGCACGACAGCCTGCCGCAATGGGGGTAGCGCTGGGAGAATTGATGTTGCCATTGTCTGGTACTCTGTAGAGAAATGCAGTCCCAGTATGCCGAGTCACTTTAGTTCATGGCGTGTCCAAGATGCAGGTCACTGCTTTTCACTTTGATAGTAAGCTTACTACATTTCTCTCGGCCCAGGCGGGAAATACTCTAGAGTGGTAGCTATTGGCGCTCTTCGGAAGTTCGGACGTTGAACGAGCAGGGTCGGGACTTTCCAGAGCTAGCGAAGTGCATATCATGAGTTCTCGGGACTTTTGCAGTGCTTGTCAGAAAGCGCGACACCTAGAATGTGTGCTCGACCCGTATAATGCAGGTAACAGGTGAGCGAAGTCCGTCATCTCAGCCAATTTACTGCCGTGATTAGGTACCAGCTCAACCCCAGTACTATGTCGAAGATGTTTGGCGGCATCCTGTCCACGACCCTCATCCTTGCGTCGTTCTTCTCACTCTTTACCGCCGCAAACCTGCATCAGCTACCTCTAGGTTCCTCGGAATTTCCCGTTGATGACGACCTGAACCCAAAATGGGACGACGAATCCTGTACCATTAGCAGGAGCACAGCTTTCGAAGTGCTCGACGGTCCCAACAGCTTTTCCTCATCTCCATCTGACCCCATCAACTCGATCAAAATCAGCCCACTCATCAATAAGACCAACTGGGAGCAATGGGAATTCGATGGCATGTCCCACACGGGCGTTTCCCTCTTGGCGATAATGTTTTCACGCGACTATTCCATGCATTACTTCGGCAGAGGCAACCTGCGAGTGGACTTTTTCGCCAACACTGGGGACGGCAAGCACCACAAGATGCTCGAGTACCTCGAAGAATCTACCATACTGGACTGTCCTGGCTATACCTACGGTATCTGGAATAGTACGGGTAAATCGTACTCATTCTATACCACCAAGAACCTCAAATATTCCAAGCTCGTCTTCGACTCGCCGACCATACGCGGCACATACAAGCTATCAGCCACCACACCACCCGTTCACGCAGACGGCTCGACACCAGGTTCAGAGGGCGAGAATGCAGCAGATGCCGCGCTACTCTCACCCGACCTCTACTACAGCCAGCCTGTCGCCGGTGGAAAGGTAGTCATGGACAGTGTTCTAGGATCGGGACAGAAGCTATCATTCAGCGGTAGAGGCGGCTCAACCCGTCTCTGGGCCAAAGACGGTTGGCTTCCGTTAACGGAGAGCTGGGTAGCTTTACGTCTCTGGGCAGGCCCCTACACCATCGCCTACTGGCACGTGGTATCACGCGTGGGCGAAGACCTGGGCAAGAAGTTCACCTCCGCCGTTCTCTTCTACAACGACGAGCTTCTTGTAGGTACGCGCGTTGGAGACGTCTCCGAGACCGAGGACTATTTCCTCGACGCGTATAACAGCGGTGGTGAATGCGGTGGATCGTATCACGACAACAACACCGGCGGTGTCTTCGAGTTTGTGTCGCCGGCTCGAGACAAGAAGTGGCGGTTCGAGACCCAGCACATGCTGATGTGGTTTGAGTTGGGAATCGGTGAAGGCCTTGGTATGAGTGACTTTGCGGACCGTGTGGTTGGCGGTGAGGTTGGCGGGCCTCAATATGAAGGGCGCGGGTTGACGGAGCAGGCGAAGTTTCCGCTATATATTCCTCAGTGGGTTGTTTGGCTTTTGTACGGCGTGGGTTTCTTGGGGACTAAGAAGGACTATGCTGTTGACTTTGTCAGGGCTTGGTCACCGTGGTGAGGGAGCTGGGAGACATGATGACTGGCCATGAATAAATCATTGCAGTAGGCTTGGAGAAATTGATCGTGCGATGCTAGATACGGTGGTTGGGTATATACCGTATGCAGTGTAGTAGTACTTCAATGCAACTTTGCTATCCCCTATTTCAACATCTGCCAAAACCGGGCACTAGCGACGATAGCACGTCATGATGACGTATCTCGGCAGCATGACGGCCCTTCCTGTAGCGACCTCCTACATGATGAGCAGCAGTGGTCTGAAGTGACGAACATAATTTAGGAGAAAGACATATTGAGACCTTTTGGTCGCACATTCGTCGCATTTGGGTCGCACAGTAACAAATACCTCGATAGTCAAGAAGTACAGAGTAACGCCTTCGAGTATTTACATACTTGCGACTGGGTGAAGGCAACAGAGCCCTTCAATTACCATCATCTCTCCCCTTCCAATCATACCAAGCCGTGACATAAACCGCCTCCCCTCCTTTCTTCAACCCCATTTTCCTCAGCAGCCTTCTCTCCCCATTCAGCATACCAAACCCCCAAATCTGTTCCATAACCCAGCCCCTAGTCTGATGCACAACAAGATCAAACAAAAACTCCTCCTCACCCTCTTTTCCCTCCCGCAGAAAGTCCTTCGTCAACAACGCATCCAACGGCTTGCCGTCATGCCCAGTAGCAGTATCAAAACAGATCATGCGAGTTCGAGCGGAAGACGTGCCGAACAGAGATGATGAGTGAAGTTGTTCTCGTCCGTCTAACCACCGCGTTTCTATCTCTTCGCTCAGACCGGCGATGGCGACGGAGGCAGCTTGCGTGAAGATTACGGTTGGCACGCCGGATTCGTCAACTGAGTGGGCGATTTTCATGGTAAGGGTCGCGAGGCTGATGACTTTGCGGATTATCCAGGGGATGCCTTGGAGGACGAAGGCGGAGTCGAACGAGTCGGATAGGGTTTTGTTCTGGGGTTGTTAGTGGATGTTGGATGGTTTGGGCGAGGCGACTTGGAGGGTGTCTGGGTTGACTTACTAGTAACCAGGAACCTGTGAAGTCGTGCATCGTGACCTCTGGAGGGGCAGCCATCTTGGTTTGGATAGTGAGTGAATCTAGGTATGGGCATGCGTGGTGTAGGTTGTAAGTTGCGTACCTAGGTAGGCAGCTTACGTATCTAGCTGGCTCGCTCGATTCGACTGGGGCGGTGGAATGAAGAGAATGGCAATAAGAACCAAAAATGAAGAGATTAGAGATGATACCGAAACTTCGTCGACGTGTTGCACATGTCAGCTGCGTGAATGGACTGTCCGGACATGTAAAGTGCCGTTTGCAAAAGTCCCGAATTCGGCAATGCACGACAGGCAACACAACGAACTCAGTAGTGGCGTGTCAGCACCGAATCGGAACTTGCAAAAAATATCGAAATCAATCGGGTGTGGAGCTGAGGCACCGAGGCAGTTCGATGCCCACCAAATCGTTGCGAAAAAAAAGTACCTGCGGATACTTCGACAGGGCGCTTCAGTTTGTCAAACAGAGAAGCGACCAAATTCATCATCTGCTAGTATCACACAGGTCCACAGTACCAACAGAGCAAACCTCAAAACAGCGCGCATCAATCCCGCGCAAAACCTACCATGTTCAAATTCTTCAACGACCCCATCCTCGACTTTGAGCTGACCCGCCTCCTCGGCAGCACCTCAGCGGGCGGCTGCGACACAGCCGAGTTCCTAACCGCAGCCAGCAAGATCAAGAAGAACGACCCAGAATCCTGGCACGCGGCGTGGAAAGAACAAGGAGAGCGGGCTGAAGCAATCGCAGAGAATGCTGCTAAGAACGGGCTAAGCGCCATGGCGAAGAACGGGTACCTGCGCGCGTCGAACTATTTCCGCGCGGCTTCGTACCTGTTTCTCAACGATGATGCGAGGGTTGTGCCGTTGTCGAAGAGGTCGGTTGAGGCTTTTGTGAGAGCGACGGCGTTCATGGAGGGGGAGGTTAGGTTGGTGGATGTTCCATATGAGAAGGGTGTCAACATGCCGGCGTACTTGTACCTTCCTCCTCCAGAGGCGAGACTGCCGGGCAAAACACCACTTCTGCTCTACTTCAGCGGTGCTGATTCTACGAAAGAAGAGCTGCATTTCCTGTTCGGTTACTCGGGCCCGCAGCTGGGCTATGCTGTGCTTCTACTAGAGGGCCCGGGGCAGGGCTTGCTGTTGAAGAAGTCGGGGGTTCCTCTTCGGCCTGACTTTGAGGTCGTCGCAGACAAGGTGTTGGGGTTCCTTGAGGATTTGGCTCGATCGCAGCTGGAGTTGCAGTTGGATCTGGATAGGATTGCTGTTGCGGGCGCTGTCACTGGGGGCTACTTTGCTCTGCGCGCAGCTACCGACGCCCGTGTCAAGGCATGCGTGTCCATTGATCCGTTCTTCAGCATGTTCGATCTTGCGATGACACGAGTGCCGCAATCCTTCGTCAGCCTATGGAAGGGCGGTTGGGTCACCAAGGAAATGTTCAACTTGATCGCGAGTCTGCAGAGCTGGTGGAGTTTCCAGATACGGTGGGAGTTAGGCCTAGGTGTGAGTAGCATGGGTGTTGATTCGCCCGGTATGATGCTGCGACGCCTCGAGGACTTCTCTTTGGACACCAAGAAAGATGGAAAGATCCTGAACAGGGTCACGTGTCCTGTGCTTCTTACGGGACCGGGTGGGGGTGCCGAGATGTACTCTTCCGCAGAAAGTGGGGCAGTCAAAATCCACAAGCTACTCACCAAGGTGCCGGAAGGAAATAAGGAACTCTGGACTCCGGCGGAGCCAGCAGATGGCGGGTTGTCGGCTAGTATTGGAGCCTGGCCTTTGTTAGCCCAGAGAAGCTTTTTGTTCCTAGACAAGCATTTTGGGATCAACCGGAAGATAGTGTTGGAAAGCAAGTGATTTACTGAACATCGTTGGCGTCTTATGATAGGTGAAATCCAATGAGTTTTGTTTCTATTGCGTTCCCGTACTCAGTACTCGCATCTACTCCTTCGCTCCGTGCACAAACAGTCTCTTGCCTTGCACTTCTTGGAACTTCTTCTCGCCGGGCTCGCCTGCGCGTCCACCGAAGACCAGCTGACCCCTAAGCTTCCACTCTAGGGGAATGCTCCATTCCTGAGCAGCCTTTTGGTCGATGATGGGGTTGTAGTGTTGAAGGTTGGCACCAAGGCCCTCGGCTTCCAAGGCGACCCAGAGAGCGTACTGGTGCATGGCGTTCGTGTGTTCAGACCAGTCGCCAAAGTGATGGGCATAGAGAGCTACGATGGATGTGAGCATGGGCTAGATGAATGATTGAGATTACTTACGGAAGGCCTTGCGGAGACCCTCGACTGGCTCGGGGTCTTCATAACAGAGAATCTGAGGGTATCTTGTTAGATGGTGTCTGATGATACGATACATGCACTTACTGTTCCCTTAGCCGCCTTGAATCCTCCAATCTTCTGTTCAGTCTTGGGGAATTGCTCCTCAGGAGTGAGGGGTTTCAGGACCTAGTCTGTATTAAGTACAACATTTTACACCTCGCGTGGAGTCTTCCGGATAGTACGAACCTCAAGGACAAAGTCCCAGAACTTCTCATGGTCGTTGTTCAGAAGAACGACGAGACGGGTGCTCTGAGAGTTGAAAGATGAAGGGACATGAAGAAGAGCCTTCTCAGCAATATCAGTGATCTGCTTGTCGGAGATGGGCGACTCCTTGTTGAGCTGGTAGTATGTGCGACGCTCAATGACAGCGTCGAAGAAGGACTTCTGGGTAGACATAGTGCGTGATGTAGTTGGAGAGGCTGGATGGATGCGAAGAGCAGATGTTGGAGATGGAGAGAGCAGCGACGATGCGCTTTTGTATCCACCGCCGACCCACGCACGATGCCTAGCGGCGCGGAGGCTATTTCTCACAACCTGCGCCATCGACTCGGATAGGTATAGCGGCGTAGATGTTACAGACGCGTCGTGACTATGGTAGGTCGGCAGTTTCAAAGCAGGCACCACTTGCTGCAATAACAAGGCGAGGAATAGGCCCGTTATCAGACCTGTCAACAGCGAGCGCGGGGCAAAGGTGGGCATGACGTGATCACAACAACGGGACTCCGGAGTTAATGCCAATGCTGAGAAAGCTGCTTGATCATGATAACTTTTTTACTCCTGAAGATCGCCCGTAAAGTGGAATCTGTAGCTAACGGTACGCCGGGTACGGGAGTCCGTGGTACCGGAGCATTTTCAATCGATCAGTCAGCCGCGCTTGGCGATGCGCATCGATTCCGCGCGTGGGGCTTCAGTTAGATCGTGGCCCTCCCTCGTACAAATCGAAGACCTTCTACAACATCTCCTGAACATTCCGCGTCTGGCTAAATCTTTCACAACCAAAATCAAGGTAGGATGACGAGGTTATCTTCTTCATTTTCATAGAGGAGAGGCGAGACACTGGTTGGATAGATCTGCTGTTGCTCAAGTATCTAGGCACAGCACTGCATAGCTATCGATAAACAGCAGCGTGAAGTCTTGCTTCGAACTTCCAAATTGACTTTGATGCATTAATACCGGGTTACTATATTTTCACTAATAAATCTTGCATGTGAGCATGGAACTAGACGTTGTTGAAAATTACGATGCCGTGGTTTTGACGCCGAAGCAAATGCGCAGTGAAGAAAACGCACCTGCTGTGACAGCAACATGCCACGGAGCCCAACTGATGAATCTACCTAGTGCAGAGAGCTCCGAAATTAATTGCAGTTCATGCCTTGGAAAGAACCCGCGGCGAACCATAGCAATTCAATAAACGCCTCACTACAATACTTGGCAGAACGGAGCTAGCAATGCACGCGTTTTAGGGATTCATAATAGTAGCGACAAGTCTTACATGCAGTTCCTGGCACGTGATGGGAAAGGACATGTTTTAACTCCTCGCCATACTCCAAGATACGTCCAGCTCCTCAAGAAGATCCAAGGTAACAAGGGGCGAGGGTAGGCGCAAGGCCAAGGCAATGCGTACTATTGCAACGAAAAGAAGGACCGTTCTCCATACTCCGGTACAATGATAAAACAAGCAAATCGCACAAGGGGGAATCATCGCTGTATGCTGCAAAGAGAGCCACACCCACTGGGCATGATAGCCCTGGACACCCCGCGCCAGTACCCATGCCCGTGCGTTAATGAAGCCAAATACAACCCAAACGACTCAACACCTTGCCATGATTGAAAGGACAGGATATAGTGGCAACAATAAATGAAGACCGAACATGCAAACGCTCCTCGATGAGCACCCTCAACTCCTCAATCATGACTCATAATGGCATAACAAATGTCTGTTGGTGTCTCTAGCGCCCCATCATGTAGGTGGAATAGCTTGAGAAGCCGTTCCCAGCACCACTGGATGCAAGAGGCTGGCGCATAGCACCTGCCATGTCGTTGTGGCCCATGCCAAAACCACCATTAGAGTACATGCCAAAGCCAGAGCTGTTGTTTGAGTGTACTGTGGTGGACAAGCCCGGAGGTACTGACAAGCCAGGCGGTGGGCCGGTAGCCGTGGAAAAGCCAGGCGGGCCTGCGGCACTGCTACCGAACCCCGAAAGAGGCGTAGAAGGAGCAATGGCAGACTGCGGACCCATGCCGGAATTCTGGCCACTACGTACGCCCAAGGGATTCTTAGAGAAGCTCAGTCGGATGCCGCCCTTGACGCTGTTGTGGAGCATGTATCCATAGAGCTCGTTCAGAGCCTTGGTAGCGAAGGATGTGTCTTCGAATTCGACAAAACACATGGGTCCATTCTGCTTGGTGCGGAAACAGAGTCGCTTGTACCCACGTTGCTTGGAGAAGACAGCTTTGAGCTCATCTTCTGACGTGTCCATGGGAAGATTGCCCACGTAAAGAGTGTTGCATGGTGGGTTCTGATCAGCGGGGTTCACTGGGGGATAAGTGGGCCGTGCGAAATGCTGCGTATACTGCTGGTAGCCTGTATTGGGTCCGCTGCTCAGTGCGGAGGGAATGCTATGTGGTGACAAGGCAGACAAGGCTGGGCCGGGCGATTGCATGTTGGATCCAGAACGTGGAGAAGCAAAGTTGGATAGAGGCGGGGACGTGGCATTCGTCACGCCGTTTGTGTTTAGAGAAAGAGATCCGAAGCGCTGGATGGGAATGGAAGGGGTATGGGGGTTGGTAGCGCGACGCTGCATGCTCGAGTGCATTGGCGGGCCACCCGTGGCATATCCAATCGACTCATTAAGCAAGCCATCGTCGTCGTCGGCGTCTTCATTGATGACCGACTTGCCCAGATTGCGGCTCGTGAAGGAGGTGTTGACGGGGGATGTCGGCGAGAAAAGGTTGGTGACCGGGAACTCTCCGTTGCCAAGACCTGGGGTCCCGTTGGGTGGGGACATGTTCTCCATGTTTTGGAAGGTGCCGTTGTATCGCGATGACTGCCGGGCGTTGATTGTCGCGCCGGTCATGGCGCTTGTGCCAGACGGTTGTCGCGCCGGCGTGCTGTCGACTGTGTTGCGGCGCGAGCCGATTGCGCCAGGCGATGCGTCCTGCGTCAGCTCGACGACCAGCGTCGCATCGTTGGTTGCATTGCGCTTCCCGTCGAGGAGGTGACGCGCTTCTTTTGCGCCGTCGAGCGTCTGAAAATGCGCAATGGCAGATGCGAAACCCTTGTCGTCGGCATGTCTGGACGGTGGGAGCATCTCGCAGTCGATCAGGTCCTTGGCGAACAGCAGGATGTTGCGCACGGCGTCGCGATCGCTGCTGCTCGGGAGTTTGCGCAACAGGATGGAGTAGCGCGCGTGGTTCGCGGGGCTCTTGTCGAGGGGCCTGCGCTCTCCGACGGCTCCCGGCATGGCGTACATGTGCGGTGCGAAGACGTCGGCCGTCATGGTGTTGTGCGATGCAAAGGGCTTGGGCGGCGACGACGAGGTGGAGCTGCTGTGGGAGCCGTGAGAGCCGTGGGGGAAGGGGCTGTTGGACAGGTTCGAGGGGCTTGTGCTGCTGGGACTCGGCCGGGCGGCCATGGCGGCCTTTGTCTTGACGGCGGTGCGGCGGGTGTGGCTGCGACAAAGGACGCGGCGGCGCAGAAGAATTGCGCGTCGGCGGCGGTCAAGATGGCGACGATGGTGAGGATGGCGGCAGTGATGGGTGTTGGCGACGGCGGCAGCGGCAGCGGGTCCTGGGCAGGTGGTGGGTGTCGGGGGCAGTGGGAGTGGCAGGCAGGGCACGGCGGTCGAGGGCGTGAGCGTGGGCGGGCGGCGGGCCTGGGCGATGCGCGCTGTCGAGGCTCTGGCACACTCAAGCGTCAAGCCAATGGGCGGCAGGGCAGGAATCGCAGCCAGCGGGGGATGCAATGCAGCAGAGGCGGAATGGCGATAGCGGCAGCCTAGCACTTCATCATTCAAGGCAGAGGCAGTGGGCAGGCGCAGGCAATGGGGCGGCTGTGGGAGGGGAGGAGAGGCGGCAGAAGTGCAAGTGAAACCCTCAGGATAGCGTTGACGGGGGCGCGACTGCCCACTTGGTGATGCGCCCAGGGAAGGCGCGTCGGAGCTAATTTGATTACTGTGCGAGTCCTGGATTCGCCCGTCACACAGGTACCCCATCTCGACCACTCGACGACGCGCTGCGCTACACCAGCCTGCTCGATTCCCACGGCGAGACTCGTCGCGTTGGGCTGCTTGCCGTCTTGTTGGCCCTCCGGCTCTTAGCGGCCTCGAGTATAGCCAGGGCTGACTTTAGCCTCTCCCCCATCGTCGTCGCGGCCTGGGCGAGAGAGATCGGCCCCAAGATGCACCGCTTGATCCACGGAACTATCGTTCATCCACGGGCCCCTATCTGCGGGCCAGCAACCAAGGCACGCTGACATTGCACGTCCGGTGTGCTGAGCCCAACCCATCGTCACCCGTCCAAGCTGCTTATCCGTCC